GGTTGACTGCCAACTAAAATAGGAGGTTTAAATAGGATTCAGAGTCTTTGAACATAATATCCAAGCTGTTTGGAATACAACTTTAAAAATCACTTGTCATACCAAGAACCAGGAAATTCATACTTGAAATAAAAAACAATGAACAGACACCAACAGTGAGATGAATCTGATGTTGGAATTGCCTCATGGGGACTGTAAAGCAGCCATCACAAAAATGCTTCAACAAATAATTATAAATTACGTAAAAACAAATGACAAAATACAAAATATTAGCAAAAAAAAAAAAAAGGAAATTAGTGAACTGAAAAATACTGCATGGGCTCAATAGCATAATGGATATGACAGAAGAAAGATTCCATGAACTAGAAGACAGAACAATAGAAATTACCCAATCTGAACAACAGGGAGAAAATAGATTGAAAAACAACAACAACAAAGCCTCAGGAACCAGTGGGACTACATATATATACATATATAAACCTAACATTTGTATCATAGGAACCCAGAAAAAGAAGGGAAAGTGTAAAGCAGAAAAAATATCTGAAGAGCTAATGGCAGAAACTTTCCAAATTTGGTCAAGGACGTACACATTCAAGAAGCTGGGAGAATCCCAAAGGAGATAAACTCAAAGAAATCTGTGCTACACACATGATAATCAAACTTCTGAAAACGAATGACAATGACAAAAATCCTGAAAGCAGAGAGAAACAGCACATTGCTGATAAGTGTAGAGGATCTGGCACAGCAGCGGCTTTTTCATCAGAAACCATGAAGCCCAGAGGTAGCACATTTCTCCAGGACTGAAAGGAAAGAGCTGTCACTGATGAATTCTATGTCAGGTGAAAACATGCTTCAGGAACAAAAGAAAAACAAAAACCTCAGACAAAGAAAACTAAAAAAAATTGACCCTCACAGAACTGCCTTTAAGAACACCTAAAGGAAATTCTCCAAACAGAAGAGAAATGATAAGAGAAGGGTCAGAACTTCAGAAAGGAAAGAACAATGGAATAGGTAAAATAGAGATAAATGTAGTAAATTATCCTTTTTATCATGAGTATCTTAAATTATGTTGGATGGCGGAAACAAAACTTGTAACTATCTGATGTGGCACTAAATATATTCAGGAAATAATTCAGACAATTATATATTTTTAAGTGGGGATGGTAAAGGGAGCTAAGTGGAAGTAAGTTTTCTACATTTGAATCCAAATGCTAAAATGGAATCAACTGACTGTGATAACTTACATGGGCACCCTATAATACCAAGAGAGCCCCTGAGACAGCTTTACAGAATGTTATGCTCAAAAGCACATAAACACATCAAAACAGAATCTAAACAATGTTTGCGTATCCCATAAGGCAAGAAAAGAGAGAGGAATTAGAGTGGATAAACAGGAAACAAATAATAAAATGGCAGACTTAAGCCCTGATATGTCAAAAAAATAATGTAAATGGTCTAAAACATTGATTAAAACACAGACTGTCAGAGTGGATTAAAAAAAATTACAGCCCAACTCAGGCACCTGGCTGGCTGAGTCAGTAGAGCACACAACTCTCAATCTCAGGATCATAAGTTCAAGCCCCATGTTGGTCGTGGAGCCTACTTAAAAAAAGTATAACTCACCTATATGCTATCTATAGGAAACTCACTCCACAACGCAGAGTACTAACCACTATACGATCACAGCGAGCGAGCTTAGGAAACTCACTCCAAACATAATAATGTAGGTAGGTTAAAAGTAAAAGAAGAAAAAAAAGATATAGAATGCAAATATTAGTAAAACTGTAGGAGTGGCCATGGTATATTATTTATTACATATTATAATATCATGTACATCATATGCTATATTATCAGGTATTTTACCATATATTAAAATTAGACAAACTAGACTTCAGAGCAAAGAAAATTACCGGGAACAGAAAGGAACATTATGTAAGATAAAGGGATTTATCCGGCTGGAAGACATAATGATTTTAAATAGGTATGCATCAAATAACAGAGTTTAAGAATACATAAAGCAAAATATTATAGAGTTAGAAGGAGAAATACCCACCTAAAATTATAATCAGGGGCTTCCATACCCCACTCTGAGCAGAACTATGAGACAGCAAGTGAACAAACATATAGAACTCTAAGCCACCAGACACCAATGGGATAGGGCAGTCCACCAAACAACAGAACACACATCTTTCTCAAGCACTGGTGCAAGTGAGGAGTTCTATCCACAGCATGGAATGCCCCTGGGCAGTACAAAGGAACAAAGTATCAATATACGCAACATCGTGGATGGATCTCCAGGGAGTGGTGCTGAGCAAAACAGCCAATCCCAGAAGATCACTCACTATGTGGAGTACTAAAGTGACAAAAATTCTGGGAACACGGGACAGATTAGTGGCTCCCAGGGACAAGTGACAAGGCAGGGGCAGGAGGGAGGTGGTTATAAGACGGCAACACAGGCAATTCTTGTTGCAACTCTTCAGCATTTTAACTGTGGATCCACGAACCAACTTCTGTGGTAAAAATGTACAGAATCTGGGGCGCTTGGGCGGTTCGGTCCACTAAGCCTCCGACTTCGGCTCAGGTCATGATCTCGAGGTACATGAGTTTGAGCCCCGCATCGGACTCTGTGCTGACAGCTCAGAGCCTGGAGCCTGCTTCAGACTCTGTGTCTCCCTCTCTCTCTGATCCTCCCCTGCTCGTGCTGTCTGTATCACTCTGTCTCTCAAAAATAAATAAATGTTAAAAAATAAAAATAAAAGTACAGAATTTGATACATACATTAGGACAAGTAAAACTGGGGAAATTGGAGCAAAGTCGGTGAACCGTATCAGTGTCAATATCCTGGCTGAGATTCCCCCCCCCCCCATCCTTTTAAAGAACGTCAGTTACCATTGGGTAAGTCCAGCTAACAAGGGGTCCTTCAGCATTATTTCCTGGAATTGCATAGGAGTCTGTAATTACCCCCATAAACTTTTCAATTAAAAAAATTCCACTGCTAAGAATGTTTTCTGACGAAGTAACTGGAGGGAACTGCCAAGGTGTCAGAGCAGGCAGGTTTCTCTGAGAAGGTTCTGGACAGGGAGCTGGACACAGCTGGGCTGATTTCACACAGAAGTTGATGTTTTGTTAAGTGAAATCAGTAGAGCAGAAAAGACTACACACAGCAAAATCTTTTCTGTTCTTTCAATCTGCAATCTTGTGTAAAAAAGCCTGGGCAAGATACACATTGAATTGTTTTCGAAGTTATCCTTTTGGGTTGGGATTGTAGAGTTCTCGCTTTTTCTTTATTTTCGTGTTGGCTGGATTGTTTATACCTGTAATGATTACGGTTGCTCGAGGAAATAAAGTATACCCAGTAAAACTTTAAATTTCAACTAAGTAATTTTTTAGTATGAAGATGTCCCATGCGACGTTTGTACTTGTATTTGCTAAATCTGGCAACCCTAGTAATGGCCATAAACTCCAAAGCCATTTCCACCGTGGAAGATAAAGCAGAGCCAGCTCCCTCAGGCGGGGTCCTCCATGCAGGAGGGCCAGGGCCAGCGCGTGCGTCCACCTGAGCCCCCTGCGCCGCACCCGTTCTTATCCAGGAGCCTCCTGGGTGCCTCGGCTCGCGCCAGCAGCAGCCACAGCTGTTCCCCTGGGATTATGTCACCATCCAGTCTTACCTTCTCTCATCCTCCCCGGACCCGTGCCCACCCCAGCCTTAGGAGACCCTCCAGCCCCTTTCTGATCTGACCTCTCCCTGCTCGGCTCACCATTCACACAGGTGCCAGTTCCTGCCCCAGGGCCTTGGTGCTTGATGCGTCCTGCGCCCCCTAGGACCCCATGCCAGCTGCAAGGCCCCTCCTGGCAGCTGCTGCTGTAAGCTCCGCAGCTGCCGCCCCCGCAGCTCCTGCCTGCCCTGGCCCCTTGCCAATTCTGGGATTTCTCTCCTTCGGCCCCCACAGTGTCCGCTGGAGGTGGCATGGCTCACCCCCGGGCCCATCACCTCAGCACCTCCCCGCACCCTGAGCGGCCTGACACTCATCCCCAATGCTCCTCCACCCTCCTCTTCTACACCCCAGGAAGGGGCCAAACTCCAGTGAAGGCCCCCCCAGCCACTTCCTCGTCCTCACTTTCCCAGCCAGCTGGTGTCTCCCTCCTCGGGGCCTCCACGTGGACAGGACCCGTCCGCCCTCGGAGCAGAGGGAGGAGCAGGTCTGGAGGCCCGGGGGCTCCAGAGGGTACAACTCCTACCCTCCTGCTTCGCCCCGTCACGTCACCTGAGAGTGGGGAAAGGGAAGCCCCAAGGTCTCAGCGGCAGGGCTGGGGCTGGGGGCTGGGCAGCGGCCCTGGGCACATTGGGTCGCCTGCCCTGACATCGGCGATAGGCACCCGGGGCCGGTGTTCCTTACATACCTACTCTGTGCCCGGGGCTCCCGCACCTTCCCATTTCCGGCCGCATCACTCCCCAGGCTGGCAGCATCATGACATCAACGTCACCAAGACAGGAACCATTTGGCGCAGCTCTGAGGTTCCAGGGCTGCGTGGCAGGCTTTCTGGAAGCTCATCTACCCCCACAGGAAGGTCACTCCAGGCCATGATTCCCCGGAGGCAAACTGTGGGGACACCTTCACACATTTGCGTTAGGGGCCTGGAGTCCTCTCGCCCCTAAGAGCACAGGGGTGATGAGAACACTTCACAGGTGGTGGCCACAGGGGCTTCCCCTTGCTGGTCCCGGGGGGCCCTGCAAACTCCATTCCAGCCTCCACCCCGGGAGGCCTGAGAGGTCCTGGGGAGAGCAGCCATGGAGACACCTGGACCCAGGGGGAGAGGCAGTATCCAGATGGGGGGCACCCGTGTGGGTGTCAATTCTGGAGGAGAGAGTTTTGGGGTTCAGCTGTGTCAGTGCCCAACTGCACCCTGGCAGCTGCAGCTCCCCCTCGCAGGTCAGGCTTGGTGTCCACCTGCCACCACCCCCCTCACCTCTCGACCCTGCCCTGGTCTTGCAGAGAGTGGAAAGTGCTCATCAAAGATTTATTACATGAATGGACACAGCTGTTCACTGCGGCCACCACACATCCTGACTCGCTGGGACAGCTCCAGTTTATGCTGGTGCTGGCTTCGCGGTCAGTAGCACTCGACTTCACGGCCAGCGTGTCCCGCTCAGGCATTAAGTTACACGGCCGCTGTAGGTACTCAATCATTCTAGGAAGGGTCCAAGTGAGCCACACCTGCTGACCTGCATGAGGGAGGGTGGACTTGGTAAGTCAGTCCCCCAGGGAAGAGTGACTGCCATTCCGAAAGGGGAACCTTTCATGTCCACACCTAGCTTGGCTCCTGGGAGTCGTGGGGACTCAGTCAACATCTTCTGCCACGACTCAGGACCTGCTTGGTCTTCTCCTGCTGGGCGTCACACATGGTGCAAATGACAAAGGCCCTATGCTCTCAGAGTGTGAACTGTACTCAGGGGGGCCGCCGGAGGCCGGGAGGCAGGGGAGGGACAGACGTGCCTCACAGAGAACGGTCAGAGAGAGCTTCCCTAGTACGGTGACATTTGGGCGAAGATATGAAGAGGTGAGGGGCGAGGTGGCCCCAGTTGAGGAAAAGCATTCTAGTCGGAGGGAACAGGCAGCGCCAAGGCCCTGAGGTGAGGCACAGAGGACAGTGTGGCTGGAGCCAAGTCAGGGAGGGAGGGCAGTGTGGGCCTGCTCACCGCGACTGTAAGAACTCTGGCTTTGAGTGAGACAGTCGCCCGAGGGTGTCAGCGGACAGGTGACCACAGCAGGGCGGAGGCAGAATGGAGTTCATTCATCCAGAGCAGGAGTCCACCACTTTTTCTGCAAAGGGCTAGAGAGCAAATATTCCTGGCTGTTGCCGTCACGTGTCCGTTTCGCCTCCTGAACTTGGCCTGTGCGTTGCGAAGGCTGCCGCCGGCCGGGCGTGAGCCAGCGAACTGGCTGTGCTCCAGGACGACTCCGTCAGGACACCGACGTTTCAATCTCCTGTAATGTCCACGCGTCATGAAATATCATTCTTATTTTGATTTTGCTCCAGCCACTGACAAGTGAGAAAACATTCTTAGCTCCGAGACCATAAAAACGAAACCAAGCAAACCAAGCGGGCGGCCGGCCGGATTTGGACGGTGTGTGGCCACACTCTGCGCGCTGCCCCCTGCGCTCCACAAGCGTCCAGCAGGGCTCTGCCGCCGGCGAGGACACACAGACAGCGGTCCGCAGCCCTTGGGGCCTGGTGAGAAGCAGGCGCCGGGCCGCGCTCAGTCACGGAGGTCAAGCCCCGAGGCCGGAGCGGAAGGAGCCGGCGGGGAGGGCGCGGCGGGGCGCCGGGCCTACTCACCTCATCGGTTAGCCTCGTAAAGTGCACGCTTGTCTCACGTCCGCACGACGCAAGCTGCGGCCTCCAACAACGTACATTCAGCGGGCGCGACCTGTGTGGAAACGGCACATCCCACGTGCGGGGCGCACCCACCCCGGGGCCGGCCCAGGGGAGGGCGCCGCCCGGGGGGTCTCGCCCGGACCCCGCAGGGCTTGTTTTAATCCCTGTGCTGCAGTGAGTGGGCCGCGCGCGGAAGCGCCTTATCGTCTTAAGACTTAAGGGCTTAGACGCACGGCCACGAAGCCGCGGCAGCCCTCGCAGCCCCGCGCACGAAGGGAGACGCTCCGCGCGGCTCCAGGGTAAGGCGAGCCCCGGGCCCCGCGGGCAGCTCGGCCCCGCGCCCCCCGCAGGTGGGCTCCCTGCCCCGGGCTTCCGCGGCTCTGCTGCTGGGCAGGCTGGGCGCCGGGCACCGCGGGCAGGAGGCCACCAGCTGCGGGGCCAGGGGCGCCGCGCAGGCCGCGGAGCCGGCCACCGCCCGCAGACCCCACGGCAGCCCACCCGCCTGCGGGCCCGGGGGCGGGGCCGGCACGCCGGGACTGCGCCTGTGCGGTCTCCCAGTCCGGCCCGGGGACCAGGCCGGCGCGCGGGGACTGCGCCTGCGCGGTTGGCCTAGCCGGGCCGGGGCACAAGGCCGGCGTGTGGAATCGGCGCCTCAGAGGCCGGTCCGCAGCAGCCCGGGGGGCGGGGCCGACGCGCGCAGACTGCGCCTGCGTGGGAGGCCCTCTCCGGGATGGGGGCGGGGGCGCGCCTGCGCAGTCGGCCCGGCCTGGCCCGGGGCGGAGACCGCGCCTGCGCAGTGGTCCCCGGCTCTCCCAGTCCGCCGCGCCTGGGTTCCCTGGTGCCGCCCGGCCGGCCGGCCCCGCCCCCGGCCCCGCCCCGCGCCGCGCGGGGCGCTGGGAGGGGCGCAGCGTCCGGCGGCGTCGCGGGCGGCGGGCGGGCGGCGGCGGCAGCGGGAGGGGCCGGCGGGGGCAGACAAAGCCGCGGCTAATGAATGGGAGCGTTCGCCCGCGCCGGCCGTCGTCCGCAGGCGGGCGGGAGCCGCGCCGCCCGGAGCCCGGCGCCCGAGGTGAGTGCGCGGCGGGCGGCTGGAGCGGGCTGTGCCTCGGCCGCGAGCTCGCGCCGCGGGCCCGGCCGTCCCGGCGCGCCGTCGGAGGTCGGGGTCCGCGCGGGGGCAGGGGCCGACGGTCGAGGCGGGGTCGGGGGTCGGGCCGCGGGGCCGGGGGGCCGGGGGCGCCGCGACATTGTCTGCGCCGGGCCGGGGGCGGCTTCGGGGGCGCGGCCTGCGGTGGCCCGGACCCCGCCCGCGCTCCCGACTCGGCCGCGGTGCCCGGAGGGCTGGAGCTGACCCCGACCCCCGTCCCCGGGACCCCCGGCCCCGATCCCCGCCCTCGGGGTTCCGGCCCGCGCCCTGCGCCGCCCGGCCCCGCGGCTGACAGCTGGCGTGCGGCGGGCCGGGCCGGTCGCACCCGAGACGCGTTTTCCGGACGGCAGGATTTTGTTGACAAAACACCTTAAGTGGTTGAAAGTTGGTGCGGGGTGCGGGCCCCGGGGTACGGGGCCGGGGTCCTGGGCGCGTCTTCTCCCCGGCACTTTGGTCCCCGCCGCCACGGCGAGTTGCCCTACAAATCGCATTTGGGATTTTTTTTCTCGGTGTTGCTCGTCTTCAGGGGTATTTCCAGGAAGAGACGGTCGCCGTCTCCGTGTCCGAGGAGGCGCGTGCTTGCGGAGCCCTCGGTCGTCGCGTCCCGGCCCCGCCGCCCCACCTTCATCAGTAAGGTGGGAATCCAACGGCAAAGCGTAATTCCACACGGCTTCCAGTGGTAGTGGTTGGTCTGGACCCGGGCTCAGTCGTGTGTGTCTGTCCCGCAGCGCCCGCGGCCCCCTCGCGCCCCCGCGGGTCGGGGTGACGTTCGGGGGACCCCGCGCGCCTCGCTGGAAGCGGTCTCCGCCAGCATTGGGACTGGCTTCTGTTGGCATTCTCCTCTTTGTGAAAAAGGGAAGTTATTTGTTTTGAAGTTAACTCTGACCAAATCGAGGACATGGTTTTAAAAAAAAAAAATCCTCTTCAGGCTTTTCTGCGGCCAGGTCGTTAAGGCAAGGGCATCCTGGTGACTTTTCATGAGAAATGTTAATATTTGTCGCTTTGTCTGTATCGTGGTGATAAAATGAGGCCTGGAAGTAGTTAGTTGGAGTTTTTCAAAAAGTACTTTGAATAAGCCAGATTTCACTTACAAATTTATTTTGGTCACACTCAACAAAGTTTCCTTTCGAGCTCACAGGAGCTAAACTTCAGGGCTTCTCTTGGGGTTGGTGCTCCTCCCTGTGCTCACCCCCCCCCCCCACACGGGGCATGTCCGCTTCCCATTTTCTCCCACAAGATCTAGCGGGAGGTAAGAGTTCTGAGCATCTGCAGGAAGTTTCGTGGGACACGGTTAGCCTCCTGTATGGGAAGGGAGCTTGGACTCCGTCTACCTGACAGGTGATCACTTGACAGCTACCCCTGACCCCTTCCTGACACCACTTCTTCTGGTTATTCCTGGTAAATTTTTTTTTTTAATTTTTATTTATTTCTAGGAGAGAGAGAGAGAGAGACAGCGTGAGCAGGGGAGGGTCAGAGAGAGAGGGAGTCACAGACTGAAACAGGCTCCAGGCTCCGAGCTGGCAGTCAGCACAAAGCCCGACGCGGGGCTCAAACCCATGATCCGTGAGATCATGACCTGAGCCGAAGTCGGATGCTTAACTGACTGAGCCCCCAGGGGCCCCAGAACTCTGTTCTCTAATGTCACTATGTGCAAGTAAGGAGGTTTGTACAAGACACAGGCTGCGGAAGCAATGTCCCAACGCCTTGGAGGAAGATTTAAAGTAGGTTGTTGGAGTAGCTCATGGGATTCCGAGTCTGCGGTGCAGCTGACACGTGGTGTTCGCTGAGCGAGGTAGTGCGTGGACCTGCGATCCGGGCCCCGTCCGGCGCAGAGTGTGGAGACCAAGCAGGTCAGGGGGGCATAGAGCCGGAGTGGGGGTCGTGGCCAGTGCAGACCCCTCTGCACCTCGGGTAGCGGTGTCGCCGGCTCCTGCAGTCTCCGCACTCTGGTCTGACGCGCTCCCTCGCAGTGACGGCCGCCGTGTGAGAGGCAGGAAGCAGGTGCATCACGTGATGCGTCACCGGACCTGGTGCCCGGGCCTCGGACGCTCGGCGAGCAGCCCCTTCGACTCCTCACCTGCGTCCTCTGCACAAAACACAATGTTTCGCACCCTCGGCTGCCGTTCTTCTAATTCCTGTTTGGTGTTCAGGCCCTGTTTAAGTCCGGGACTCGAGAACAGAAGCCGTAAGCGTCCGTGCTCCTTTTCCGTTCTGTGTTTCACTGATTTAGCTGCGTGGAGACGTCACAGCGCGCCATGGCCCTGACCGTCCTGCCGCCTCGTGTCTGCCTTCCCCTCAGTTTCTGGCCCCCACAGGGGTCTGGCCCTCTCCCCTTCCGGGGCTCACCCTCGTTACGTCCCCGTCTTTCCCGCCCTTCTCCCTCGCCCCACCTTCCGTCACCCGGAGTGTTCTTCACTCCGAAGTAGCTCACGCCACTTCCTTGCTAGTTGTTTGATGACGTGCTGTTGGTAGTTCAAGTTCTGGAAGCATCGCTCTGAGAAAAATGAAGCCTTTCCTTCTCGTGCTCCCTGTGTCTGAGGCAGGGGTGCCTGGGAGAGACAGAGCGGCTGGACTGAGGTGTTCTGGCCTCTCACGCTGTACCTAGCAGGGGTCTACCTGCTGGGGGCAGTAGTGCTTTTGAAAAGAAGGCTCCGGAGACCTGAGCCGTGATGCTGGTCATAGACTTAAACCAGAAAAGAAGGTCCAGCCAAGAAAACACCGGCAGGTGCAGGCAGAGGTGATGGCAGTTTCTGTTTGGGAAGTATGTTCCAGGAGACCCCTTCTTGGACGGAATCCAAGCCTGGAGGGTCTGGGGCCACAGACAGAGCCCCCAGGGAAGAAGGGGCGGCGTGGTGGATGGAGAAGCCGGCCCCTCTGCTTGAGCCTGAGTCCTGCGGGCCCCGCCGCGTCTGCAGCCGCCTGCGCTCCTCTGGGCGCCTGCTCTGGGAAGGCCTGTCCGTGGTCCACGTGTCCCAGAAACCAGGCTCCTGGCCTGGGGACCGGGCTGAGGTGGGCTGTGCCCTGCTGGCCACCCGGGGGCCCTCTGTGCTCCTCCATCCGGAGGGCCCTGCACCTGCTCTGTGCCCCCACAGAGGGACCGCCTGGGGGCTGAATGTCATCCATGGCCACCACGAACTGGTCCTCACCTCGTGGTCTGCCGCTTGCTCTCTGTTCGGGGGGAGGGGAGAGCCCTTCCGGGACGGCTCCGGTTTCTCTGTCACAGGCCATGTTCCTCGTCCTGTGGGTAGAAGGACACTTTCAGTCAGGACCCGTCGTAGCTTCCGGCCACAGTAGCGACTTCAGCCTGTCCCCCGTGGGACTGCCCTGGACCCCGCAGGGAGGGGGAGGCAGCAGGTGTGGGTATGGGTGTTGGGTAAAGGGGACCCACAAAGCAAGTGAGCAGAACCACACAAAGAGCCCTGGGCTGTGACCCAGATCGTTTCAGGGACAGAACAGGGACCGGCTGCCCTTAGCACGGTCTGTTCGCTTGCTTTGGAATGCGCCCTGTTGCCAAGGTAGCCTTATCGCCGCGTCTGACCCCGTCTCATGGGAAGGGCTCTGGAGCTGGTTTCCGCAGTTAACCCTTGGCGGCCGCCTCTGCCCTTGCCCCCGGCCCCCATGTGCGCGGAGCTGGCACTGCAGCAGCCTCGTCCTTCGTGAGCCCCGCCGCCCGGTGGAACGCGGCTTTGAGGCGCGTGGTGCTGCGTCCACCCCCAGGACGCGTCGGTTACGGTCGCTCACGCTCGGGTGTGTAAAGTGACTCTCCCGTGGGGACCGATCCTAGCTTATGACCTTGGGGGAAGACGGTTGTGTCCAGGTGTGAACCAGGCGGGCTGTCGCTGCGGCTCATGGATCCTGGGCGCTGGACAGCTCGCTGGGAGCTGCACACAGGTTGGCTTGGGTTTTAACGGCCAAACTGTGGAGTTTTCTGACTTAGAGCGCTGGCCGGAGCGTCACGGTCACCGCTGCCTTCTGCCCGTCTGGTGCTGGCCGCGCTTCGGCAGGGGAAGTCACATGCCTTCCTGCGCTTCACCCCTGAATGTCCTTTTCTCCAAAGAAGAGGCAAAAGGAGACCCTTCTGTGTGACCAGCAGCGCCGTCACCGGTCACGTCCAGGACGCGGCACAGTGATCTCTTTGCCCCCGCGGGCCGGCTGTCCCGATGCTTCCGTCGCCCCAGTAGCTGGTTTCCCCAAACCAGAGTCCACTCTGTGTCGTTCAGTGCATCACACCTCGTTACTTTCTGTTCTTCTGCAATAACGCCCCCCTACCCCCCGTTGTGTTCCATGGCAGTGACCCCTTGAAGAGACTGGGACCATGGTCTTGTGAGAGCCCCGTGTTCAGGATCTGTTCGCGTGCTGTCGTCTCCCTTGTCCCCAGTGACTGGCGGGAAGGGGGTCAGAGGCAGGTGGCGCATTTCCACAGGGGGACACCGCCTGCTCCGCCGTCCTGCTGCTGAGGCCGGCGTCCGGATGTTCTCGACTTTATCTGTGTCCCTCTGGCCCGGGCATCCCGGGAAGAGG